CCTCCTTACCCCCAGTAGTTATCAAGCCAAGGAAGTTATTTGTACTTTTTTTTAAATGCCTTATCCCTGCAGCAGATCTATGTCTAAATGCAGAAACTTAAATATTCAGACTGCCTCGGTCAAGATTTAATCTGATTATAAAGTTTAATAAAAGAGACTAATGTTGCCTGAGGCTAATTCTCAGAGCTCACATGCTCTGTCTAACATGTGGCTTCAGCTGGTTAGAGGGCGGTTTGTCAGATCATTGTCCAACAACAAAGTTTTATCACATTCATTTCCTAAAGTCAAGTAGTGTAGATTCTTGGTCAAAGTATATTTTTAAAGAGATTTTAAAGGAAAGAAAATTAAAAGTGTTATTTCGCATCTAGTAGGCTGTTGGGGTGCTCCCTTATTCAGGGGTCAGCAAAGCTAAAGGAGTCATTTCAGCCAAAGCTCACTCTTTTTTGGCTCTTTTGTTTTCCATTTTTTCTCAATAACAAAAAGGGACATTCAGTGTGCAAGTTAATCACTGAAGCTAAAGACTTTGAAAAAATGTTTACTCTTTCACATGTTTTCTGATTTGTAATCAAATTTGGAAGAACATGTAAGGCAACAAAAAAAAAAATAGTCTAGTACTCGTAAAAAGGCAGAAAAAGCACAACTCATCAACTATTTATTTAAAGCACTCAGACATTTGCAAGACAATGACTGGCCAATATTCAGATCATATGCAAAATAGAGAAGCATGTCTTTTTGTGCCTTTTACCACTAAAACCCTGAGTCATCAAGCCAAGGACTTCATCAGAGCCCAGAAGGTTTGCCGTAGCATCTGGCACCAAGATGTTAGCAGCAGATCCTGTAAGTCCTGCAAGCTGTGGAGTGGGGGGGTGATTTGCTTGTCCAGTCGATCTTACAGATACGCGACTGGATTGAAATTTGAGGAATCTTGAGGCCAAGTGTGAGCCTTGAACCATTTTTGTCTTTGGGCAGAGAGGAATGAAGTGCAAAATTTGGTTTATAAATAAGCAAAAGTGTCTCTAAATAATTGGATTTGATATCAAATGTTGGTTTGCAGCCACCAGGTAGTACAATTTTAATGCAAAGATATTACTTCCATGAAAGATTATACATTCTCTTACAAAAAGCTTAAGAACCAACATGAACAACAGGAATCAGGGTTTCCCAACAGTGTTGGCCAAAGTATCACATGTCTTTTGTTTATCCTATTATGCATGTTAGTATCATTTGTTTCCCAGGAAAGCAACACAGGTGCCCATGTAAAAAAAAAAGAAAGAAAAAAGTTGATCCATCAGACTAAATGCCTAAACACAGCGGTTACCAACAACTTTTTTTGATCTCCAATCTGATTTTTTTCCATGTCTCACTGACTGCATAGAGAGGCTCCGACTAGGCAGGGTGGGCAGATCTGCTTGGAATTTTTCTGTCTCTGTGCCACAAAAATTGAAGCAAATTCCCACATTTGCCTTGGACAGATTATGAAAAGTTATTTTTAAAAAATGAAAATACCACCAGCGCATTCTACAAAGCAAAGCCCCAATTGACGAGTCTGGGCAGCATCTCAAACCAGAACAGACAGAGAATGTTCATATGCCTATATAAAAAAAAATAAATAAAAAAAAAAACATAATGAAATCTACGTCTAAAGAAAAGAAAACAGCAATAAACGCTGTGGGACTTTCTGTTTTTTAAAAGAGGTGAGATACGCTGTGCTTACTTGCTTTGTCTGCCCCTTGTTATTTTGCTTTTGTGAGGCTCAAAGAGGATCACTCCTTTATCTATTTTCTGTCCTCCTTAACTCCTATTATGGGTAAAGCATTCTTTTTTAATTTTCCATTCATAATTTTTGCACAAGTCAGCCCCGCTTACTGTATACACGATGTGTGACTCCAAAAACTGACTCTTTTCCCATGCGAATAACAGCTATATTTTGTATTTTCCCCCAAAGCGGATGTGTTTACTTTGTAACCTTGTCTCTCATCCTGTCAGACCCAGGAAATTACTGCTGAATTGCTGCATACTACTACTAATATCCATCCACGCATCTTCTTTTGCTTACCCGGGGTCGGGTCGCGGGGGTAGTAGCTTCGGTAGGAGGGCCCAGACATCCCTCTCCCCAGCCAATTGGGCCAGCTCCTCTGGGGGAATCCCAAGGCGCCTATGCCAGCCGAGAAACATAGTCCCTCTAGCGTGTCCTGGGCCTCCCGCTGAGCCTCATCCCGGTGGGATGTACCGTGGAACACCTCACCAGGGAGACGTCCAGGAGGCATCCTAATCAGATGCCCGAGCCACCTCAACTGGCTCCTCTCGATGTGGAGGAGCAGCGGCTCTACTCTGAGTCCTCTCCGGATGACTGTGCTCCTCACCCTATCTCTAAGGGACAGGCCAGACACACTACGGAGAAAACTAATTTCAGCCGCTTGTATCCGGGCATCTTATTCTTTCGGTCATGACCCAAAGCTCATGACCATAAATGAGGGTAGGAACGTAGATCGACCGGGAAATCGAGAGCTTTGCTTTTTGGCTCAGCTCACTCTTCACCACAAAAGACCGGAAATGTGCACGCTTCACAGCAGACGGCGCACCAATCCGCCTATCGATCTCCCACTCCATCTTCCCCTCATTCTGGAACAAGACCCCAAGATACTTAAACTCCTCCACTAGGGGCAGTACATCCTCCCCAACACACCACTACTTATAGTCTGATTAAAATAGACCTGGAGTCTATGTCAGTAAGACCTACACAAGCCCCCTCGTGTAAAATCATGTCAGGTGTGATCATCCCCATTGACCTTCAAAGAGCGCTAAATGCCACAACCTCTAACGACATGATTTTCTGTCGGATTGGATGCAAAATCGGATTTGGTGTGTTCTGGCCTTAAGGCAAGCTCCTCCATTGCTTTGGAATCCAACTCTATTGTTCCTAATCAACAGTGAACAGAGTGCAGCATTGCCATCTCTCTTATATGCTTTTAACAAAATACTTTGTGTCTTCGTATTCCTTTCTATTAAAATCCTCAGCCATTTCTGCTACCGTAACTCTTGTTGGATTCAACCATAAAGGCCAATCTTAACTGCCAACTTGCATTAACAAGCCTGTTGATGGCTCACTGTTGTTCGCGGTCATCCCTAGACCCTTTAAATTCAGAGCACCAGAGAACATTTTCACAGAGCTAAAGGGTTTAGATATCCTAAAGCAGAATCATCTATATATCACTATATGATCTTGGCCGTTCTCCAAGCTTTTAAAACCACGGACTTAAAATGTTGGAACTTATTTGTTCCCCAAGATCTCCACTAACCAACTCGGTAATGAAAAGTAAATCACAAAACAGCTTTTCACACTTAAAGGTAGGAGTTACAAATCTTCTAAGTATGTGCGACTTCCTGAAATATGACGGTTAAAGTTTACATTCATGTGTTCGAAGTCTAGGCCAGTGGACTTCAACAACAGCTCAAATGACAACAAAACCGATAAGACTCATATGTGCAGAATATGGCTTTATGACAGAATTGTGTGAAAGGAGACCAGTGTTCATTTCGCCTGACAGTATTAGTACTCTTGATTAGCGTATTAAAAAAGCTATAACGGAACTTTTGTGCAATAGGGAGAACTATGTTGTCTTTGTGAAATGTTTCAAATGAGAACAAATCTGACGGTGTTGAGGTAAAATGCTGCCTTGATTAAACATAACGACATCTGTAACTCACATTGCCTCAGAAACTAAAAACGATAGTTTAGTTGCCTTTAAACCAGGAGTTTCCAAATTTAGTCCTCAGAGTGATTTTGTGGCCCTAAAACCGCAGCAGTTGCAGCAGATACACTGAAACTAGACCCTTCAAAGATCCAGATAAATCATACTCAAATAGCAGTAACTCTTCATCTTTTACTACGTTTATATTTGTGTTTGACTCCATTTTAAAAAGATGAAAAGCATCCAACCTTTTTTTTTTATTCAAAAGCATGCTTAACTAAATAAAGGGTTATTTTGTCTTTTTTTTTAGGGGAAATATGCAGTAATCTATGTGATCCCTTTCCTACAGATATCAGATCCACTTCATTTCTTCAACTGATGTTTTGCTTTTAGTTTATTGATGAGCAGCAAAAAAAAAAAATACTTTAGCATCAGGACAGTTTCAGTCCACCTTTTTAAAGGTTTGAACGCCTTTGCCTTTAAAATTGAACTGTGAAATGTTTCCAGGCCCTTAATGGTAGAGGAATATTGTATCCTGATGGAGAGCCTTCATCCAGACAGTATGCAGCCTCCCCCACCCCACATTTAAACCTTTGAGACAGCCTGCTTTACCCTTCCAAAGGGGACCACGCATGACATGATACACACTCACCAGTCACTGGCCTACTTCTGCTTGCAGAGTCTGTCTGTAATCCTTCTTATTCTGGAGCCTTAAAGCATGTTGATTTTTGGGGTTTTAATCCATATGAAGATGTTAAGTTAGTTCCCAATTCCGACACTTGACTTAAGAGCTAAATATCTACAGAAAAGGGAACTTAAAATTATGAAAATTGTAAGAGATTGGAAGGAATTTCTTCTTAAACAGTCTATGAGGGGCAGAATAGTCAGTGCATCCTGCTTGATTTCTGAGAAAATGTGCCAACATTCAACCTACACGTCTCTCCTCCCCACAGTAAAATTTGTACATTGCGCGCCGGAAAGCCCAAAACAAAGTATTGCAGAATCAGAAATTCCCCCCTAGAGAAGTTCTTACTATCAGCAATTGCCACAGAGACTAAATTACTCCACCGATCTCCACCTAAATTGAACAGGAACACTCCTGAGAGTAACGAGTCTTTCTATTAGATTAAACTGTCAGGGGTTGCGCACGTGTGAGCAGTCTGTGTCCTCTATTTAAAAAGCTGTATTTATATATATTTACTTGGAAAAAACAGGAGGGGAAATAAAGGACCATATTAGGAAATATGTCTTTTGGACTGTGAAATACCAATAATTACAAAGCGCACATCGACGATCGCTTGCGCTTACCTTTAGGAGTGACTTTTCCTCTGCTCGGCTGTACCTACATGAATAAACTAAATCCTCTATTCTCATTCTCCCCCCTCGCTGTGCAAAGGGAGCCAGATGTTGAAGAGATGCGCACTTCTGCTCGGATCTGTGTGCTGAGTAGCTTGGCTGAAATCGATGCGGGTCAAACAGACTGAGCTGTCACCCCCCACCTCCCCTGCTAGGCTCCGATCAGGCAGCGAGGCGAGGCGGATCTGGATGCAGCTGTCTGACAATCGGCTGAGCCGCTGATGACAGCGGCGCGAGGGGCGGGCCTCGCGGACCGGAGCTCTGAGCGTGGGTTTAGTGGTTGATTTGCAGGAACTGACCTAAGCCGCCGAAGTTAGTCACAGACATGTGTTTGAAAAAAAAAATACAAACATACTCTCTCTCAGTAAAAAGTTTAGATTAAATTGTGTAATATTTTACTTTTTCCTTATCTTTCCCAACCAATTTAACACTGCTGGTGTAGTGAATAATTCAGGCAGTTGTTCTTGTGGCAATTTATTGCATTTACGTCTATGACAAACAAAGAAAACAGATAAAATCTGTTTAAAACTTTGAGGAAAAAATACATAAATTACTACCCCTAAAGAAAGTCAGCTATTTGTCGCCATCTGCTGGCCAGATAGCAGAAAGCCATGCTGATTATTTTTGGAATATGTCCCAAAATAAAATATGGAATAAAAAAATGTTCTCATATTTTCCTAATTAAAATATTTATTGAATATACAGGTCAATTTAAGCATATTCTTTTCTTTACTGCGTGGCAGAAAAGTAATTTATTAAACACACATGGCAAAAGTGACTAAATGCATGATACTTATGTGAATGTATTCCTAAAGAATATTTAATTTTCTTAAACTAAAGTGCAAAATCCAAGCTTTTCAACATGTCTTGATTTTCAAATTAAAATTTATTATTTAAAGTGAAATCCATTGTTCAGTCTGTCCTATGTTCAGCCATTACTGAGTGGTTTGGGTAATCTATACGTCATCTCAAAAAAGTATTTAGGTCTACATGTGGCCTTCTCTCCATGCAAAACGTCTAGGGTCAGGGAAAGGACAGCAAACCTCTCTTCAAAGCCTATATATTCTGCAAACAAACTACCCTGACTTTATTCTCCAGGCAAGCTATACAGAGTTCTATTTGGATAAACCAACCACCACAGAAATAATTTTTTTTCTCAAGCCTTCCATCTGATACAAACTAAAAGAGTCAAAGTTCCTTGCTAATCACTGATATATAAATAGCTTAGCGCTGCCACTAATGATTATTTTGCAAATCGATTAATCTGTTAAGCATTTTTTCGATTAATCGATTAGTAATCAGATAGCAAAAGGTTCCTCAAAAAAAGACTTTTTGTAAAACTAAACCAGGTAAAAATAAAACTTTTCCATTTGAGGAGTTCTGAATAGTAGTGTATTGACAGACATTTTTTTTTAACTTAACTTTTACAATTTTTTGTTGGTTGCTCCGTCAGCTTAAGGCATATTTTACAGTCTCTATACTCCAGATAACGATTAATCGACTGCTAAATTAGCTGACAATTATTTCAATAATCGATCAATCACGATTAATCTGATTAATTGTTTCAGCCATAAAATAGACAAAAATATAAATTTTAGTTTCCCTTTTTACATGTTTATATTTGAAATGTTTGAAGGTAGTAATTGATCATAATAAAGTGAACTCTATTAGGATTTAGACTTGATTTTGAATGATTAAACTTGACTTTCAGCAGTGATTCTATTAATTTACCAAACTTTTTCATCTAGATCACTTGAGGATTGTAGTGTGTGCCTCTTTGATTAAACTGAAGTAGTGTTGGTGCTTTCAGGAATAACTGTTCAAAATAGCTACTGCTTCATACTTTGGTCAGTTACAATAATATATGCCATCCCAGATGGTATATTTTACTTAAAGTTTAATTAAACAAAGCATGTAATGTTCAAGAGCAAACAAAAATTAGCAAATGTCTGTGTGTTCAAAGGTAAATTAAACATGCTTGCAAATTTATTCTACAGAAAAAAAAACATAGAAAAGCAATTCCTCCACACTGTTTAAAATTTGCCACAAGCTACACAGCAAACGTGTGGAAAAGGGACTTTGGCCAGAAGGGAACAGCAACTGAACATGGTGTCACATGCAAAGCACCTAATGTGATAGAAAACAAACACTGCATGTCTCCCTCACTGCCCTATACTCCTCATACAGAGAAATGTGGAGGAAGCATTATATTGTGGAGATGCAGAAGAATTTTTGGAAAGATTGAAGTGGAGGGTCACCTTTAAGTAGAACTACAACCCTAAATAGAAAACTAGAGCTAAAATGTTTTAAAAGAAAAGAAAAAAAAGTGTCGTAATATTTCTAGAACAAAATTTGATAAAGAGTTTTATTAGAAAGCTTTAATTGCTGAGAGACTAATATTTGGACTGGGTGATTGGTGAGAAATTCCTAACTTCAAATTTATGAAGGTAGTTTACGTAAATAACCTAAATACTTTAGGTGATATCACTCTCTTAACAGCTTTCAACATGGAGTTTAATCTGTTTCCACCAGGCAATGAACATTATTTTTACATTATTTACTTCAGCAGCCCTAACAATTTGGTAAACCCTATACAAATAGGACACTGTAGCTTGATTATTGGAAATTTTTCAATCAATCCCCACGAAAAAAAAAAAAATAATAATACCACAAAAATACCACCGTCACAAAACTCAAAAAAAGAAGAAAAAAAGAAAAAAAAAAAAAGAAAGAAAGAGTTTACTAAAAATAATCATGACTAATCTGAAAAAAATGCATACCCACCCCCACTTCCCACTTATGCAATGCTGGACACCAGGGGCGGAGCTAGATGGGGGGCCACCCTGAGCCAAACATTGGCCACCCCTGTGGCCATTCTTACTACGGTATTTTTAATACAGATGGTAGGAGCTGGAATACTCTCAGGTGGAATATTCAAAACATTTTCATTTTTCAGATGTTAACAGTTGCTCAGCAACAAAAACACTCTGGTTAATTATGCAGAGCAATATACTAACATTAAAGATGATAAATACAGAATTCCTGCTCTTTTTAGAACTTGTGTTGTTTGGTAAGGAGAAAATGATGTGTCTTTGCAAATGATCCAGGAGTCTTTAGTGAAATCATTGATAAATAAATATTTAAATAAAAACGTATTAAATAATCAATTTATGTAGATTTTAGTACTTGTAAATATCAATTTTATGCAGAATGATTATTGATAAAAGTTGGTAAGTAATGACAATGAATAAAATGTTCAACTCAGAACTCAAACCTGAAAGAATTGTATGCACTATATCTTTATCTAGAAAGGACGGATGTTTAAATATATGTGTCTATACGTTAGCGACGGTTGTAGAAAAGTATAGTTATACTTTATTTAGAAACAAATGGATGTTGTGGTTGTTCATTTTCCTGTTGAACAGAGGCGTAGCCAGAAAATTGTTATAAGGGTGGCCAGGCAATAACCAATGTACGCTGAGGGGTGGCTGAAAGCGGATAGACACTAGAAACTCAGGGTCAAGCCAAAGATAATACAAACTATACTTTCCTACAGCCTTTGCTAACAAATAGACACATATATTTAAACATCCCTGCTTTTTAGATAAAAGGTATAGTGGATTAAATTCTTTCAGTTTGGAGTTCAGGGGCGAACATGTTTTCCATCGTCATTACTTACCTACTTTTATCAATAATCATTCTGCATAAAATCAATATTAACAAGTACCAATGTCTACATCGTCTAAATTGATTATTTAATAAGTTTTTATTAAATAGTTATCTATCTCTGATTTCACTGAAGACTCCTAGATGAATGCAAAAACACATCATTTTCTCTTTTCCCCATAAAACACAAAATCTAGTTCTGAAAAGAGCATGAATTCTGTTTATCATCTTTAATGTTAGTATATTGATGTGTATAATTAACCATAGTGTTTTTGTTGTCAAGTAATTATGAATATATGAAAAAATAGTAAGGCAAAGCAAGGCAAATTTATTTGTATAGCAAAATTAAGTACAAAGACATTGCAAAGTGCTTTACATGATTAAAATATAGGAAAATAAAACAAGTAGGGAAAAAATTAAATAAAAAATGCAGAGACAAAAAAGAACATTAAAAACAGTTGAAAATAAAAAATTTAACTAATGATTTTCAGTTGAACTGTTTAACTAGAACAGTCGAAGGCAATCCTAAACAAATGTGTTTTTAGTCTTGATTTAAAGGAACTCAGGCTTTCCGCACTTTTACAGTTTTTTGGAAGTTTGTTCCAGATAAGTGGAGCATAGGAACTAAATGCTGCCTCTCCATGTTTAGTTCTGGTTCTAGGTATGCAGAGCAGGCTGGAGCCAGAAGACCTGAGTGGTCTGGAGTAAGTAATATATGAAAAATTTAAATGTTTTGAATATTCCACTTGAGAGTATCACTGCTGCCACCATCTTTTTCAGAGGGGGATAAAATGGTAAGGGTGGCCTTGGCCACCCCTGGCCCCCTATCTAGATTCACCCCTGCTGTTGGAACAGTGTCGATTGAACCTGAGGTTCTGGCTCCAATCCACTTTCGGCCACCCCCCCAGTGTACATTGGTTATTGCATGGCCACCCTTATTAAAATGTTCTTGCTACGCCTCTGCTGGACTCAGGTAAACAGAATGAACATCATGATCTCTGTTCTTTCATGCAAGATAGGATTCTGACCTCCAGAGGGCGCTGTTTCACCCAGGAGCGCTGCGTGACGTGGCCAGAAGTGGGCGGGGCCCAGTGTACAGGTCTTCTCCCATTCATGCAGAGCCTCGAACATTAGCAACCATCGCAGCTCAGTTAGAGCAGACGCGCCTCTTCTTCCTCCACCTAGAGACCCTCGGTTTCCCCACTCTGAAATAAAGGACACAGGTGAGAGCTTTATCTTGGTTTTAGTCCACGGGTTCGTATTTATTAATGAATTCATTTCCCGTAGTTGGTGTCTAAGCGGTAGCTGGAAAAGGAAAGAGAAATAGCACAAGTGAAAGGAAAATATGTAAAAATATCACGTCCTTACTGCCCCTCAGACAGCCAGTTTTCTCACTTGTTTGTATTGAAATAGGTGAAAGGTTTCCTTTAAAACTGTTGACGTTGAAATGCCTCGCGGGCTGGAGACCTTGTTTTGGCCTTCACTACTAAAAGGCAAAGTTTGCGTTTTTTGTTCTTAAAATGCGCACATATATATTTATTTATATCAGTAAAACCGCTACGATGTGCGCAGTGTGACAGCTGGTCGAGTGGAGATATTTTTAAATCCTTCGCTAAATTTTAAATAAATAATACAAAACTTAGAGGAAATGGCTCAACTGTTACTATTTTATTTCATATTTGTAAATATTGTTTATTTATTTTGCCAGAGCATACATGTAGGCAAAAGTCCAATTAAAGGTCATTCAATGGACAAAACAATTGGCAGCTTCATAATAGAGCGTAATTAATCATCCTGATGTCAAGTAATTTAGTAATATAGAGTGTGCATATCTTTTTTTTTTTGTTTGTTTTTTGTTAAAGTATAAAAGTTGTTACTAGTTTTGAGGTATGTCACCTGCCTGTTGAAGGTCAGTAATACCTGTCTGGTCACTGTGTCCTAAAGGTAAGGGAGTGAGCCCATTTTCATCTAAACTCATTCTGTTCCTATTTTAGTTTAAATTACATTAAATATGGAAATTGGTGTTATGGGATATATAAGTCACCTTATTTTAGGTTAAGCATGTGGGTGGCGTAGGTGAAAAAATACTTGCCATGTTACCTTTTTTGTATTTTATTGGTCTAATAGCTTTTATTTTTAAATCCGGTTGCAATTTGGATCTGGAAATTTTTTTAGCAGGAAGACCCTGAAGGGTTTATAGCAGTATAATTAAGATCACCTCCAGACATTGGGTGAACCAGTAGTACTTCTTGTACTGCATTTGTCTGTTATAATAATTACAAATCGCCTTGCGTAAAACAAAGCTGTGGTCTCTTGGTGGCTGTATTGTCATCCGAAATGACTTGCTTTGCAGGTTTAAGACGCTTTTGCTTCCTCACAGTTGTCAGTTTTTTTTGTTTCTCCCTGTTTCCATGCATTGCAGCGCTGCGACCTTTCCCCTAGTTTCTGCAGCACAGGGTGGATCATGTGATGCTGGGGGAAGGGACTGGCTGCTCACACGTTGCTGCTCTGCTCCTTCCCACCACTGCAAGCGTAGAAACGCCGCGTCCTGATTCTAGAACACGCGTCCACAAAACAAACCCAAAATCAGAGAGCTTTAGATGTTTTCCTCTCCATTTTCATGGCTGTAGCTGAGTATTATAATGTCATAATCAGCTGTTTAACAACGTTTCCTCTTCTCCTTATGTGTAAACCACTGGAAACGCACAACAAGGGCAGTGAAAGTCTGCAGAACAGCCCAAAAGTTGATGCATGTCTCCAACACTCATCTGGCCAGAGGTTTGGTGCACTAATCCTTTACAGGGAAACTGACACCTTCCTGAGAGATAAAGAAACATTCATTCATACGTGCATGATGAGCATGCACACACACATTCAAAACAAAGGACTATTCAGTAAGACTCACTTACCTGCTAATTATGTCTTTTACGTTGGGAGAAAGCCAGATCACCTAAATATGCATGTGGAGAACATGCTGACTCTATAAACTTTGTGGAACTACCCTCCCTCGCCATGCGGCCCATGTGGGATTGGTTTAGCTTATATATAAACACAAATGGAAAAAGAAAATATTATTAAGATGAAGAAGTCTAAAGAAGCACCTGCAGTCTCAGTCTGCGGTAAAGCTTGTGTCACCTGACGGTTCCTTTCCTTTTAAGAAAGTACCTGTCATTCTTTTTTTAGACTGTCCTTGTTCAGTTATTTAGTTCTTTAAGCATTTGTTGAGTTGTTTGTTTAAAAGGATTAAACTGTAGGATGACATGAAATTGTGCAATTCCCCCGGTCGTCTTTAAAATGAGGACTTGTGACTTTGAAGATCTGCAGCAGAAACTGATCAATGTAAGACATTGTTCTTTTTTGTTTATGCAGATATCCACATGTAGCGACTGAGTGTGATCTAACATATGACCATTTGTCAAACCATGTTTACTTCTGATATTCCCTGCAGATGATTGCCACTTACATTAATGTCACATCTACAGATTTAGGGCAGGTATTGCCTTTTATACTGCAGCAAGTATTTAGCGTTAGCGCCACCGTTTGTTTTTTATTCCAGGTATTTGCAAATCCCATTTCAAAGCAATGGCTTGAACATATTTCTTAATAACAAGCCACTCAATGCTCTCTGTGCAATCAAGAATCTACTCACCTCCAAATCCAAAGATGCATCAAACTTAAAGAAATACGATAGGAGCTGCTTTCTAATTAAAGTGGAAATGCCCTCTTATGGGCTTTTGGTTAGGGTTTCACTGCGTTTTTGTCGCCTTTTAACTGGACAGAGTATTTTTTGAGGTTGAAATGATTTACAGTTTTCTTCTGTTATGTTTGTTTTTTCAGTGCCTTTAAACCAGCAGCCACCATGGCAGAAGCTCACCAGGCGGTGGCCTTTCAGTTCACCGTCACCCCCGATGGCATCGACCTACAACTGTGCCACGAGGCTCTACGCCAGGTCTACCTTTCTGGGCTTCACTCCTGGAAGAAAAGGTTCATTCGGTTTAAGGTGAGAGCTGTCGGACGTATTGAGGGGCAATGTCCAGATGGTTATCTGCAAAAGAAAACGCAATTTCTCTTGAATATTGACAGAGACTTCGTCAGCCGCTAGAATCGTCCCCTTGTAGTTTCTAGGTTTCTATGCATTAGTTTACAGGCGACAGAAATACTAGTAGAGACGATGCGATGCAGTATCCTCTACTGTACACTTGTTAACAAAGTTACAGTAAGCTGTTTAACCGGGAGGTCAGCCGATCTGACATGAACTGCAAACTGTGACCGTAACCTTCCTGAGAGTTCTTTGTGCGCTAACTTTTGGCTCAGTGGTTTGTTTACACACAGTCATACTGAATGACTCGACCCTAAAGACCTGCCAGCTCTTCTTTCTTTTTCTTTTTGTTTTTATAGTTTGCCCTTAGATGTTTAGTGACTTTATCACCAACGGCGATGAGTGATGTCATGGTTTTACAGATTATTATGCTAGCTTTGTTTATTGTGAGTTTACCTTTCACTTTCGCAGAATGGGGTAATGACTGGCGTGTACCCAGGCAGCCCGGCTGGCTTCATGATCGTGGTCGTTTCATACATGTCCTACAACAAATACAAACAGCTGGATCCTTCCATGGGACTGATTGCCAAATTAGGCCAACACATACCCATCAGGTGAGCATGGTGTTGTTTTTATGAACAACATGGACCACAATAAAGTGCTGAAGGATATAATGAGGCAAATAAAGCAGCATTCCACAGAAGATTGGCTAATAACTATGAAGCATGATTAAAGAAAGATTAATCTGGGTGAATAGTAGTTTATCCATGGCGGCTTCTTCTTGGTCATCAGCCGCGCCTTCAGTTTGATAACAATGTTTATGATGTTTAGAGTTACAGGAACACTTTGTCCTCTCCTAAATCTGAATTTATCTTTTATCAACATTAATGAGTGAGTTCCTCATTCCGGTTTTATTTTTATAACAGCATTCAAGTTTCTTGTGATGCCAAGCAGGAATTCTTTGTACCTTCTTGTTTTTGTTGCGTAAGTTTAGAATACGTGTTGGCGAGAGTCACACTTCCTGCGTGATCATGACTACACAGAGTTTATGATTTAGTTGGTTGCTCTTGTTTTTTTTTCTGCATCTACGCCTATTGGTTTGTATAATGAAGGCGTAATCTGCACATAGTGCATGCTATCTTTGAAATCAGATCAGGTCTTGTCCAGCAGTCCTTTGTTTTCCAGTGTTTCCATTGTGCTGCGTAGAACCATAGATGGGAATTTTCTTAAAGTAAAAAAATAATCTAAATGGCTTTTACTTAATATAATCTTAGTTGTTTTACACGTTTTTGTTTTCCTTCCCTCCACCTGCAGCCAATACATGTCCACAGATAGCCAGAGGATAGTCGGAGGGGTTCTGGTGGGCACGGGCCTCTGGGTCACCATCATTATGATCATGAGGAATGTTCTGAAGTGCCTGCTGTCATGGCACGGCTGGATGGAGTCACGCCACGGGTCTCTGCCCTTCGGTACTCGCCTGTGGCTGGTGAGATGGTCAACATTCATTCTGGGTTTTTCTAGGTCCTCTTTTAAAGCCTTGACACTGTTAGAAATTAATAATAAAAACTTTCATGTGGAAAGTATGACATTTTTAGTTATAACATGAAATGAAATCTAAGTCATTTTTTTGTTAAAATAAGTACATTTTTTCTTGAATTAAGGAGCTAAATGAGACACTTTGCCAATGGAACAAGACTATTTACATTTAAAATAAGAAAAAAAGCAATTGAATTGTCTTATTTCTAGTGCATATTATGTAATAATCTTATTTTGGGAGTAAAAATACTCATTCCATTAGAAAAACATCTTAAATTAAGGGTAAATACACTTGATTTAATAAATTTGTAGTTATTTTTAGATTGTCTTGCAGTGTTAGAATTCAACATGTCATACTTTCCTCGTGTGTTTGGAATTTAAATATGAAAGTTAAAAAGAGTAGAAAATCATAGTTGGTTAACACTAGTGGTGCTTGTGGCCAAATCTTTCAGGTTAAGTCAAAATTGATTTAGTTTATATTCTTCCATTTGGGCTTTTTATGTTCAAATGATAATTTTCTGATTTCAAACCTTTTTTTTATACTTATGTTTTATATAATGTTTTGCAAAAAGAGATATCTCACAGAGCACTAAGGTTTTCCTTTCCCTTGTGTTCAGCTTTTGGTGAAGGTGTTCTCTGGCAGAAAGCCGATGCTCTACAGTTTCCAGAACTCCCTGCCGCGGCTACCTGTTCCCTCAGTCAAGGACACCTGCAGAAGGGTAACTTTCACTTCCAAGTTCAGCGGACATGGAACTTTGCACCCAATGCTAGTTTAGAATTTATGGCGGTTATAGAGTTGGAATGGAGATAATGTTTTAAATGAGTAAGTAGTAAAAATGCATTAATGACAAAGTGGGTAAAAAGTTATATTCCTTCTGTGGGGAAATTCTTCACTAAACTGCAGGAGAAATTTCTTAGTAGTTTTTTTTTATACACTGTCTTTCTTGGAAGGCTCATTCCTTTGTATTTCCCTGTGGGACTCTTTCTGTTGACAGTACCTGGAGTCGGTGCGCCCACTGATGGATGACGAGCAGTTTGAAAGGATGAAGGCCTTGTCTAAAGACTTTGAGAAGAATCTAGGACCCAGGGTGCAGTGGTACCTCAAACTCAAATCCTGGTGGGCTTCAAACTATGTAAGTTTGAAAAAATGTCTTTCTCCTCTATGTTTTTATTTATTTATTTTTTTTCATTAACAGTCTCACTCAATATCCTTCTTTTTTTTTTTTATCAAACGCAGATTGCTTGGTTTTGTTGGTCTTTTTTTATGTATTTTTTTAAATCTTCTCTGTATCATCTGTATCTCTGGCACAGGTTAGTGACTGGTGGGAAGAGTATATTTACCTGAGAGGCCGTGGCCCCATCATGGTCAACAGCAACTATTATGCCATGGTAAGTGACGTGGCTTTAGTGTCAGCTGGCAAGCAATTTTTGCTTTTGATTTTGCTTTTTATTCAAATAAAAGTGGAAAGAATATTGAAATTTTTAAAATGTTTTTAACCTATTTTTCTTGCAACTTGCAAACCTTTCACCCAACAAATTAAATAATTTATTTCTCAAGTTGGAGGAAGACGTCTAAAGGTTTAATTGGCAGAGTTAAGCATTTTAGAAAAGATTCTTACGAGCCTGATATCCAGTTATATTTATTTTATATGTCACTGGTCTGAAATAAGAATTATTTCCCCAAAGGCACCTCTGATCTGATGATGTAAAAGTTTGCAGTATAAGCTCTTAGGAAATGTAAAGAAATGTTATAATTAATAAAGATGATAAAATGGAATAAAAATTTTGCATGCTTTTACCTTACTTATACAAAGAGCTTACCTACATCGGTGTGTCTCCTAGATGTGTTTGGGATTGTGTTTTTGTCCAGGTTTGTACTAGCAAACTGATTTAATTTAAGGTAGAAGTATTTGAAGGTAGCCCTGGGTTCTCACTATTTCCTGCTTCACTTAGCAAAGTAAAGCAGAACTACTGCCAGCAAGATTACCCCACATCTTGATGCTGCCACCACCATGCTCAACAGGGTTTTTAGGCTCCTCAAACATTCCTTCTTGTCATTGCTAGCAGTATAACCATAAAACCTTTACCCAGAAAACATTTGGTTTATCCACATGGGCAGCTGGGCATTCCAGTGAAGCTTAAAGGTTTACATTTTGCAGAATGTATTTCTTTGTTAGCCAGTGAATACAGTCCATGTTATTGTTAATCTGACCTTGATGTGGATGGGGACGTTAGTGTTTTGACAGTTTTCACTTCATGCAGACTCAATCTTTAGTATTAATTTATATGATGGTTACAGTTTTAACCAAATAGTTGGACATTTTCACTGGTGGATTTATCCATAAGGACAACAGCCACAAACAGATCACCAATTTCAGATAATCTTTAGGAACAGCTCGGACCTCTGCCTTCTTAGAAACATGCTTTAAAGCTGTCTTCATTAGACACTTCTGTTTCTAATGAGAAGAGCAGTCAAATCTTGAACCAGAATTGTCCCAGGGCCCCTTTGAGGGCCACCGAAAGCTTGTGTTTCATATGCAGCCAGCTTAGTGACACTTAACCAAATGTTAGAGACGGAGAATGTTTAGAAAATTGTATCTGTATGAATGGATCTGATCTTTGTGTGAAGTAGAGATAATCCACAAGACTGTTGTAAAAATATTTTTGATAAATAAATACTGGCGTAAAAATAAATGTATTTATTTTTATTATTATGTGTTTCTTATTAATTTTCAGTTTTTTCACATTATATGTGTATTTAAACTTTTGGCCAAAGCTTGTATATTAGTCATTGTTAGCATAAAGAGGTTTACCCCTCTGTTCCTGCCTTCCTGAAATGCAAAAAATGCTGGTTGTTTTATGAATAAATTGTTCTTCTCTGCAGGACTTTCTGTATGTGTGCCCCACCAACAGCCAGGCGGCCCGGGCAGGTAATGCTATTCATGCCATCATGCTCTACAGGAGAAAACTGGACAGAGCTCAGATCAAACCAGTGAGTAGACAGATATTTGGTCTCTTCTTCTATCAATTTATCTCTACTTTATCTTTGCCAGTGAGGTTGCTATTAATATAATTATTTCAAAAGGTGTTTGACTATACCTTAATAGATAAAACATTATAGGATTATATGTTTTATCTTACTGTCCCTGTTCTTTAAGCTTTCCATAAGAACTTTTTATCTTTCACCTTTTCTTGTGTACTTAGAAGTTTGAAATCGTACTAATCATTGCTAATACTAGGTATGGGCCAGTTTAAATTTTTAAAGTATTAAAAAAACCTGCAGCAAAAATTCTGAGATAATAAAGAACTAAAAAATGCAAAAGTTGATATGGCTGCTTTGTTTGAAAAAAATACAACAATTTCTGCTGCTGTAAAATAATAAAACTACGTCCAACTATGACTTCCCCCTTTGGCGGTTAGGAAAAATCCACAGAAAAGTTGCACCTTCTTATAAGCCACATGGTTCAAAGTTATGGGGAAAAAAGTTGCGGCTTATAGCCTGGAAAATAGGGCAACTGTAATAATTTAATTTAAAACTTATATTTATTTAGCTTTAGACACGACCTTGAACTAAAAATTGAAAGACACACACCTGCTTATTTTAATGGCTGTGCTTTACTATATATTTTGGTGTTTATTGTTCAGATTTTTTTTTCCTGTAGTAATATTTTATAGATATTTTATTTAAAGTACAAAAAAACAACATTAGGCGATCAGGCCATCTGCCTAAAGCATCCAGTCATTTGCTTATTTGTCAGGTGTTTGTTTTCCTTTATCAAGTTTGACATCTATGTCAGTCTGATAAAACAGGTTAATTTAACCAAGTATTTACAAAGAAACATGGTTTCTTTCTCATTGGTGAGGGAGAGGTGCCATGGCCTTCATTCATCTACAGTAGCTGATCAGCAGGCCACAGTAACAGAAGGAAGTGCGGGAGTTTGGTGCTACTTTAAGCTTCTAAAGTGATTTCCAAATTTCCTACAAAATTTAATTTTAACAGTCTTTAAACTGCATAAATAATATGACAGAAGGTTGTATTGGTTCTGAAACTGTAGCCTTTTCAAACTTTGATAAACTCTGAACCTAGTAACTGGCCCATCCCTACTTGATACACATTAACTCTTCTGTTTCTAATCCGACTTTTAAAGCCACAGTAAACTTTTTCCCTTTTCCTACTAGAAACCTAAAAGCATTTGCTGGCAAAGCTAAGCTGTTTGCCTTTATTAACACTAACTGACCTCATTAGTCAAATGATTTCATATATTATCGTCAGTTCTTTTTTTTTTTTCAGTATGCATGATGCTCAGATGTTGATTCTTACCACTGTGGCAAAATATGCAAAAGTCTTTATTAATTCTGAGATAAAAAGTTTGATCTGATATAAAAATTCCTATGCATGAGCTTGCTCTGTTACACGCTCACATTTGGTTGTCTTTGTTCTACTGTTTTGTTCTTTGGTTTTGACGGACGCTGCGTTAGATATACTTGCTGGCCAACAAGGTACCTCTGTGTTCTGCTCAGTGGGAGCGCATGTTTAACACCTCCCGCATCCCTGGTGTGGAGACAGGTAAGAGTAGGGCGTAGCCGCCACGCCCTCAGACCCGCTGCCACGCGACCCTACGGCCCTTGGAAATGGTGACTCCACTACTCATTCCCATCATCACAGCCCTGATAGATTTTAAAGTCATATTTGGATTAGTTAAAATGATCTAAAGTCTATTTAATTGTAGGTGAAGCATTTTTATCTCAAGTCCAGGGTTTTGATGGTGGTATTGAGATGGCAGCGCACTGATTTCTGGTCCTCGCCTCTTTTCCTCTGAGGTCCGTCCTTCTTCCTGAATCCATTTTAATTCTACTTTCAGTCCCTCTCCATGCTCTTCTCCATACAGTTGTGTGTCTGGTGCTTCATCTCTGTTTTATTTTTTTTTTGTGCGATTTACTTTCATCATCTGTGGGTTTTTTTTTTTTTCACTCTCCCCTTTTGCTTTTCAGCTCATGCTCCTACAAACTATCCCCATGTGCTCATCCCAATACGAGCGTATGTTCAACACGTCTCGTGTCCCAGGTGTAGAGACAGGTAGAGTCTTTAGCAGTGCCGCCTCCTCCACTCTACTTCTGCTGTCCTTCTCCACAGGACATTTCTGTATTCAAGTTGGAAATAATCAAACTTCCACAAGTTAATAATGCATGTATGCATACAAATTTACATTCAAGTATTCAATTGCATGAAACTCAAAACAGGCTTCTCTGTTTGGAAATTCACTTTGATGAAAAAAAGTATTGACTCCTCCCACTTAATCATTCACATCAGGTGTTCTGAGTAGGCCCATAGACTCTTGCTGCTCTCAGGAGCTACTGATGAAAATGTTAAAGAAGGAAATAATTATATTAATGCATCAGATAGTCAAGCTGCATTATTAAGTATCAAATCTGGCAAGTCTTGTAGATTAGATTTGTTATTAGATATATATGAACTATTAGTTCAGCTTCATAATAAGAATATTTTTATTCGATGTGTCTGGATTCCTGCTCATGTAGGGATTGAAGGAAATGAAGAAGTATATATATTTGCTAAACAGGCCTTAAAATCAGATATTATTAACTTAAGTATTCCTTTAAGCAAAAGTAAGGGTAAATCTATAATTCAAAATAAAATCTGTAAGATTTGGCAGGAACAATGGGATAATCATGACACTGGTAGAGATCTAAATGAAATTCAAAAGACTGTGGGGGGTAAGAGTTGTACAAGGAAGGCGGAAAGAAGAGGCAGTCATATCTCGACATAGACATTGCTCATACTGCACTTAATAGTTCTCTTATAGGGAAACATGACACAGGGACTTGTAATCACTGTAATCAGATAGAAACGGTGGAACATGTATTAATGGAACGTGATAAGTATTCATAGGAACGTCAGCATCTAAAGTTAACACTAAATAGAGAAAAAATTGGATTTTCAATTATAAACCTTCTAGGAAATACATCTAATTCTGCTAGAAATCAGTTAATTAGATAAAAAAAAAACCTTGATTATTTAATCATATTTAAATAAATAAGTGTTTATATGCATGTGGATATTCACACATATTGATTTAAATGTAAGTTTGTATAGATATTGATTCATAGATAATATGTAAGTTTCGTTCATACCATTGAGGTGTGAATTAATAACTTCCCTCTGACATCACTGATAACCACACTCAAGTCTGGTAGGTGGCGGTAATTGCGTTTTAAGTTGGTTGCCATCCGCCAATAAAAAACATAAGAAGAAGAAGCTCCCTGAACTCTAGCTTTCTACCATTGCAGTACACCTTCTCTGCAGACGGTGCAGTCCTGTTAATTACTTCCTACCAAGTTTGTTTTATCATAACCAGTTAGAGGCAAAGGACGGACATAAGTTCAGCTATTAAAGTGCAGGACACTTAAAATCTCATATTATTAGTGGATGCTGAGGCAGTAGTGCACAAAGTTTGTCAGTCCAACCTCCAAACCTTCCCCTGGATTCACACTGACTATTACTCGTTGGCTCAGTAATCATTCACAAAGTGTGCTTTAACCAACACCAGATTCCTAAAAGAAGCTGTTCATGCATTAAGACTAGGACTGAGAAATATATAATCTCAATATAGCAAAACACAATTTTAAAATCACAGAGCCACTCCAGAGTAAAACGAATTTTTCACTCCAGTCCTTTAGGTCGCATCATTGTGGTTAAAGTTAGTTTGCGGCTACACTGTAGGGAACAGAGAGTTGCAGCTTGTGCATAGATCCATGTGTAAAAATAAGAGTAATTCCTGTGACAACAGCCTCTGAACAGGCCTGTTTACAAAGTAAAAAAAAAAAAAAACAATGCACCTTGGAGTGAAACATCTAAATGCAAATTGCATCTAAAATTGCAATATTAGTTGGAAAACCTTTGTCAGTGTATTGGATCTGTTTTACTTTTCCCTTGTCTGACATCCTGTCTGGTTTATTTGCTTTTTTGAATCTGACATCTGTCAGAAAATGACTCAAATCTCTATCTAAGGTGTGCAGTTTGCCCATTTGAAGAAACCAAATGCTTTCTGGGAAAAATATTTTATGGTCAAATCTAAGAGTGGGAGAGTAGACCTGGTTAAGGTTCATTGGCCATTTCAGTTTAAGTGGCTCTGGTCTGTTTCGTACTTAGACAGAATATTTAAAACTAAGGCCTACCTCCAAACTATTCAAAATCATCTTTAAATATATTTCAGGGTAAATGTAGATATTTTAAACTAAATTAAATAAATAAATGACTATGGACTCAGACACAGCTGTTGTAAAACCTTTTTTAAGCAAATGTCACCAATGTATTATAGACATAGGACCCAAAGAGCTACTATCCTGCTTCCTTTAGATGCATACTTCTTTGTAATGCCTACATTAAATGAAAGGTTGGTTTCCTGACCTTGGCAGAGCTAAATGACTGATTGTGAGGGAGTCTAGCCATTTGTTTCAGGTGTGTTGATGCATGAACAAAAGAAAACAAAAACAGAGCTCAGAGGACGAGGTTTGGGAATTCCTGATCTAGGGCCTTTATATATGCTCTCAAAACAAAACATTAAGAAAATAACAATGTTTCCTATCTTGGTAACTACATTAACAATATTCTTAGATATTGCTGGATACCTTAATATTATACAGCTCCAAAAAGATTGTTGTTCTTTTGGTTGCTTCCTGGGGTGAAGTTCCATGTTTTTGTTTTCTTGTCTGTAACATGATCAGTGCTTGTTTGAACACTTCATATCACTAGTACAGCATTACTGAACCCAAACATAAAATCATTCTCTCGATTTGGTTGTCTAGCTGTGCACCGAGGTGCTCAAACAAACACTGCTGCAGCTCAGTGTACCCCTCCTTCCCACCCCATCCACTGCACCCCTGTGTCCTGCCCCTTTAGATTTGTTATTAGAAGCATTACATAACTTACTAATCACAAGTTCATTGTATATTTCATAAAGCGGTAAAGTGTGGATGTCAGATTGTTTTATTCTTGTGTGTAGAAATGGTTACTAACACCTCTGGTGTTCTTAGGATTAAAACTATGTGACATTCATTGTCTGTATCCTAGATATTTTGAGAAAAAAAATACACTGTAACACTTTCTTTTACAGTACATCAATAACCAAGTAATAACACGACAATAACATAGCAAGTTACACTATAGTACTTGCTAACAGGAAAACATAAAGGTATATAATTTAAAAGTAATTACTTGCAGGTAATTATTACAATTGTATGTTACTATGTAACAAATGTAGAGTTTTGGTGGGTAATTGCCTTTAGGTTACCACATCACAGTTTCTACTATTGGCCACCACTTTCCAACAGCTAACAAAGTAAATTGTAACTTATGATCAATTAACTAAAGCATTATAAAACTGAAGACAAGTTACATATAAGTAAGAGTTTAGTTAAGAGAATTGGCTTGCTGTCTTCTAGGTTTGGTTTTCTATTATACCAAGTAAAAAATAAAAAGCATTTTACTAGATAATAACACATTAATTTATTGCTGTCGGTGAAATTAATGAGTTACCTGGTAATAACTGTTTAAAATCTAAGAAGTCTGACTTTACCTTGTCTGAAATTGAAAGCACAGAACTTACCAAAATTCTCCATAGTTTTTCTTCTTACCTAATAAATTAGTGTAACTTGCTTTGTTATTATCATGTTATTACATGGTTTAATGGTGTACTAAAAGAAAGCGTTACCAAATACTTTAGTTTAACAATGCCAATATTTCTAAGTTTAAAATGACGATTATCTAATGGTTTTAATGTTGTAAAAATCACACAAACCTTCTTCCAATTGTATTTGTATCTCCACTTCTCCTTGTTCCCTGGCATCGTTACCTCTCTTAGACACGCTCCAGCACATGAACGAGAGCAAACACATTGCTGTGTACCATAAAGGCCGTTTCTTCAAGGTGTGGGTGTTTTACGACGGACGGCTGCTGCTGCCACGAGAGATCGAGCAGCAGATGGAGAGGATCTTGGCGGACAAGTCTGAGCCCTTGCCAGGAGAGGAAAAACTAGCTGCGCTGACTGCAGGAGACAGGTAGGTGGTGCTAGAGAGAGGGAAATGGCATTGTTTGTGTCATCTAGTGCAGGCATCCCCAACCTTGGTCCTTGAGGCCCGCTGTCCTGCAGGTTTTAGAGGTTTCCTTGCTCCAGCACAGCTGATTTTAATTTAAAGCTGATTAACAGGCTTTTGATCTACTGCAATCATTATAATCAGCTGTGCTAAAGCAGGGAAACCTCTAAAACCTGCAGGACAGCCGGCCTCGAGGACCGAGGTTGGGGATGCCTGATCTAGGGTAGCTGGGACAAGATTTATGTTTAGTGATTCATAATAATGCTAATATTTAGGAACATTATTTTGAAAAGTTTTAAATCAAAACAGATTCCAAACATAAGGACAAAGTACTTACTCAAACCTGAAAAGCAATTTGAGGAATCAGATATATATTTACTTTGTTGTTTTACTTTTGACAGTGTTGCAAACACAACAGCTGTTGATTTTGTGTGCTGTAATCAAGTGAAATCTGGAGCTTGTGTAAACTCTGTGCTCAACTCTGAGACCTTTAGTTGTCCTCACTGTAAAATAAACAAGGAAAAAAAAAAAAAAAATAGCCGTGTCAATTCAGTAGTTTGGAAAACCAGGCCTTGATCAGGGTTTTTCATGGTAATAAAGTTTCAAGTTCAGATCTATGTCTTTTTGTAGATGGTTTAGGGAATTTGTATCAAAGAGTTCATGAAACATTTATCCACTACCTTTATTATTGGAGAATTGATATAGTTAAAGTCTAAAAACCAGTGACCGATGTCTCCAGCAATCACTAATAAATAGCTTTCCAGTATTTTGGCCTCTAAGCAGACTGCTCAGATTAATGTTTAAAATTATTTAAACTCTGCTTTCTGTAAAACAAGATAGCCCAATCAGATTACTGTTTGTTTCCACTGTTGTAGATCATTATTTGCCAATATAAATATTACCTTTACAACAAACCAACTTCTACATTTCATGTGTAAATTATAAATTGCCTGTAAGTGCTTTACACAACATCCACCCATTCACTCACACACTGATGAAGGCAAGCTACATTGTAGCCACAGCTGCCCTGGGGCTCACTGACAGAAGTGAGGCTGCCGTACACTGGCGCCACCAGTCCGTCCGAACACCATCAGTAGGTATGCAGGTGACGTCTCTTACCCAAGGACACAACGGCACAGAAGGCCTGAGCCAGGGCTTGAACCGACAACTCTGTTTGCAAGGCAAACACTTGCATCCAATGCCACTGCTGCATAAGGAGAAGTTATAACATGTATTAAGTCCACAGAAAAACATTTACTAAGTGAAGCTACTGCACTCAAAGTGTGATTATTTGCATTTATATCTGTTTTTTAATTCACATTTGGTCTTCATTTAAGTTTGTTTGTAATCTCAACAACTGCATTAAAACTAAACCAAGAATTAAGAACCCTGCATGAAAACGGAGGAATACTATAGGAAAACTAACATTTTATACAATGCTTAGGAATGGATTGGCATGTCACATAATACAGGTGATGACAGCAGAATACGATACTTGGAGGGAAAAAATACTCTAAATACAACCTCACCAGTGTGTATTTTTAAAACATCTTTTCTTAGTTACTGTTAAAGCAGCACAAAGTAATTTTTGAGTGGTGCTCTCCCTAGAGGACCTTGTTGTGAAAACTTACAGCTTTCTGTGAGTTGCACCTCACAGCTACAGCGCTTTACTCTTCAGCCGCTGGAAGATGCAAATAATGACCACAGTTCTGAAGAGATGGGTAGTATTTTACCTTTTCTAATAGAAGCTATTGCATAGCAGCCAAAATAAAAACTGATCTATATTCACCTGGGCGTACCACAGTGAAGCGTGGGCTTAATGAAGCCAGTGGCTTTATTTCAGGTTGCATAAAGCTGTTTTACTGCAAGAGAGTAGAAAGCTGCAAACTGCTATCTGGGTCGGAGGAACAGGAAGTTGTTAGTGGTTTTCACACAAGAGCTATTAGGGGGAGATGAGAGTTTACCACACAGAGACATTTAAGAGGATTTGTTAGGGGTAAAAAAAAGTTATTTATTGCTGCTTCAGAAATATCTGAGTGGGGCAGGTTTACCCTTGACAACATCTGCAGGAGTCCTTATTGAGGTCTGACTTCTGTGCAGCTTTTAATGTGCAATCTGAGCATGCTGCTTGTAGCTCCACACCGCATCAGAGGTCTGCAGCCGAATGCAGTCAGGGGGGTATTCTTTATTATTGCCTTAAAAATACCCTAAAAATGACCATTTTGATAAATTTGTGGATTGGGAGATAAATGTTGCTACCAAAATAAAAAAACAAAACATTTTAAGCATTATTCTCAATAATAACCCTCTGATGTACAGGCTTAGTTTAAAAGGTCTTCCAATTTAGAATCACTTCTGTTTTATACATTTACTTAATTTATTATGGTGTTACAAAAGCAAAACATTTTTCAAACCTTCTGTTCTTTCCTTTTGATACGAAATCAAAACCAGATTTTCTGTTTGGCTTCTTTAGGACCCCTTGGGCAAAGGCTCGACAACAGTTCTTCAAAAATGGCAAAAACAAGCAATCTCTGGATGCCATAGAGAAGGCAGCCTTCTTTGTTAGCCTTGATGATACAGAGCAGCGCTACGATGCAGACAACCAGGTCAAGTCTCTGGACAGTTACGCCAAGTGCCTGCTGCATGGAAACTGCTACGACAGGTGGATGAGTACAATTAAAGATATTTTCACCAGTTTGTATCATAAGCAATTTCCAAGGATCTATTATAAACATTGTATGTCTTTTTTCCTTTTAGATGGTTTGATAAGTCCTTTAATCTGATCATTTTCAAGAATGGGACCATGGGACTAAATGCAGAGCACTCTTGGGCTGATGCTCCAATCGTTGGCCATCTGTGGGAGGTAAATTATTAAAGTATCTCACCCCACCCATTACCTTTTTCACATTACAAAAAAAACCCCAAAACTATTGATTTTCTTAGGGTTAATAGACAAAGTAGTGGAGAAAAAAATCAGCGTCATTTCCAAAATGTTTTAACCCTGATTACCCTAAAATCCACTAAATAAAACAGATTTTGATTTTCAGCAGTCACCTTTCATGTTAACAGAGTCCACCAGGTTGGCTCATCCTACAGAGAACTGTCCGAGCCTTAATTATAAAAAGAAAAACCACCCATAAGGCATGCTAAAATAATCTGATGGGATCCTAAAACTTGACATTGCCCCCAACAACACACAATAAATTGCATTTGCAATATAATCTACATTTTTAAGAAACACAATTTCAAAATTGCAATTTCAAAAATATATATCAAGAGTGTGACATCCTTTTTCACTCCAGCCTTTATGGTGGCAGTCATCTGCCTAAAGGAGGAATATAGACTTGCTGATAGGTTGCAGATCTGTGCATTCGAGCTAGAAAACAGCAGTAAAGGCCATTAAAACAAGGAAAACCTGAAGCTCCACCTGTTTTGTGATAATACTTTGGTTTCAAGAAAGATGAATGTGTGCAGTCTGAGGTATTAATGCACTGCTCAAAAAAATGAAAGGAACACTCTGAAAAAGCATCAGATCTCAGTGGGGGGAAAAAATCATGCTGTTTATTTATACAGATACGGACTGGGTGATGTGTTAGGAACAAAAGGATGCCTCATCATTTGATGGAAATTAAAATTATCAACCTACAGAGGGCTGAATTTAAAGACACCCCAAAAGTTACAGTGAAAAAATGATGCGGCAGGCTAGTCCATTTTGCTGAAATTTCATTGCAGCAACTTAAAATGGTATTCAGTCATTTGTATGTCCCCCACGTGCTCATTAGGAGCATGCCCGACGTTGTCAGGCATGCTCCTAATGAGACGACGGATGGCATCCTGGGGTATCTCCTCCCAGATCTGAACCAGGGCATTACTGAGCTCCTGGACAGTCTGAGGTGCAACCTGGCGGCATCGGATGGATTGAAACATAATGTCCCTGAGGTGTTCTATTGGATTGAGGTCAGGCGAGCATGGAGGCCAATCAATGGTATCAATTCCTTCATCCTCCAGGACCTGCCTGCATACTCTTGCCACATGAGGCCGGGCATTGTCGTGCACCAGGAGGAACCCAGGACCCACTGTACCAGCATAGGGTCTGACAATGGGTGCAAGGATTTCATCCTGATACCTAATGGCAGTCAGGGTGCCGTTGTCTAGCCTATATAGGTCAGAACATCACTGACCCACCACCAAACCGGTTATGCTGAACGATGTTACAGACAGCATAACGTTCTCCACAGCTTCTCCAGACCCTTTCACGTATGTCACATGTGCTCAGGGTGAACCTGCTCTCATCTGTGAAAAGCACAGGGCACCAGTGGCGGACACAGTAAACCTTCTGGCAATGGAACGTATTGATGTGCCATCCTGGAGGAGTTGGACGGCCTGTGCAACCCCTGTAGGGTCCACGTAGCACCTCATGCTAACAGTAGTGACAGTGACCCTAGCCAAATGCTAAAGTGGTGAAAAAGAGTCAAAAAAGATGAGGGGAAAAAATGTCAGTGGCCTCCACCTGTAAAACCATTCCTGTTTTGATGTTTGTGTCGTTGTTGCCCCTCTAGTGCCCCTGTTGTTAATTTCATTAACACCAAAGCAGCTGAAACTGATTAACAACCCCCTCTGCTACTTACCTGACCAAATCAATATCCCAGAAGTTTAATTAACTTGATGCTATACTCTGATTACAGAGTGTTCCTTTAATTTTTTGAGTAGTGTATTACCATAAACTTTCAGGAATTTTCCCATTGGATTAAGTACCAGTAAAGCTCTTTTAATACATAGACTTGTTTGGTAGCTGCACTTTGTTAAACAAGGATTATTTTTCAACCTAATGAGCTGTGTTTTCTTTGGGTCTTTTTTTCAAAAAGACCCAAATAAAATTTAGATTTAATCATACTTAATTTGTTGAGGAAAAACTGTATAGACATCTGATTGGACTGTGTTGGATTGATCTGTATGTGTTTTAGAAACTTAACCCAAAAGACTTGCATCAATACAAGGAGGAAAGAGGTTCTACAAAGTAGTGACACATGGGGATGTGTGATGAATTAAAAACTCAACACCAACATTTTACAAAAGTTTTGAAACAGCGTCTCAATTTTTGGCACAGCTCACTTTGTGCTTTGCTCTGTGTTGGTGTTCAATAAAAAATCCCAATTACTTTAATTGTGTGGTTTACTCAACCTATCCCAATATTTACACATGAAACACAAAATGAATAAATTGATCATGTGAATCAAAACTGAAGCATGTTTTGAGTCATTGCCTCATTTTATTTTAAAACAGCAAGTATTGTACATGGATTGTAAACTGGGATATACTGAGGATGGCCACTGCCATGGGAAGCCTCATCCCAATTTGCCTGGTCCCCAGAAGCTACAGTGGGACATCCCAGCTGAGGTAATTTCTTATTTCAATATTTCAAAATTGACATACTCTGTATTCTCAGCACATGCACTTCCCTATAAAACACTTGTCTTTGTTGCATCATGTAGTGTCAGGAGGTTATTGAGAGCTCACTAACAGTAGCCAGGGCTCTGGCAGACGATGTGGACTGCCACATAATCCCCTTCGATGACTTTGGAAAGGGGTTGATCAAGAAGTGCCGCACCAGTCCAGATGCCTTTATCCAGATCGCCCTGCAGCTGGCCCATTACAGAGTAAGTAACAGTTCAGCTTGTTATTTATACTTAGTTGGGATTTAACAATTTAATGGGGCTGCTCAGTGGAGCAGTGGGTAGCACTGCTGCCTTGCAGAAGGTTCTGGGTTCGATTCCCAGCCCGGGGTGTTTCTGCATGGAGTTTGCATGTTCTCCCTGAGCATGCGTGGGTTCTCTCCGGGTACTCCGGCTTCCTCCCACTGTCCAAAAACATGACTGTTAGGTTAATTAGCTTATCTAGATTCTCCTTAGGTGTGAGTGTGTGCATGAATGGTTGTATGTCCTGTTTGACTCTTGTGTTGCCCTGTGATGGACTGGCAACCCGTCCAGGGTGTACCCCGCCTCTCGCCCATAGACAGCTGGAGATAGGCACCAGCACCCCTGGCGACCCCAATTGGGACAAGTGTGTCAGATAATGGATGGATGGATGGATGAATGTACTAAAAATGTAAAATTAATCAGGATTTTAGTCAGAACCGTTTACAGATATGGGTGCAACCTGAACTTGGCACCACCAGAGGGCGCCCACAACCAGGAAAAGGAAAACACTGAAACAAAAAAAACAAAAAAAATGTTGGCTTGTGTTACAGTTGGATTTTTTCTGTTAGTACTGTAGTTTAAAGAACTTGTGAAGGTTCATTTGGTGCTCAGAAATGAAAAAACTATTCAATGGTGGTGCTCTGCTATGGAATACATAAAAGTATGGTGCCTGCTCAAACACTCCTGTTGGGTAATTTACAAATAACCATCAGTCATGTTGGGAAATTCACTCTAGATCATGTTGTTTCTAAACAGAACAAAGGGAAGTTCTGCCTGACGTATGAGGCGTCCATGACGCGGCTCTTCCGTGAGGGTCGAACAGAAACTGTACGTTCCTGCACCGTGGAGACTTGTGACTTTGTTCGTGCCATGATCAGAGACGAAACGGTGAGTCTTACCAACCCGCTTATAAGCTTTTCATAGTGCTACAAAGTGGGAATTGTTTGCAATAAGCACATTATAATCTGTTTCGTTTCTGTTTAACCCCAAACTGCAGAGAGAAGAGCGCCTTAGATTGCTCAAAGTGGCGGCAGAGAAACACCAAAGCTTGTACCGCTTGGCGATGACGGGTCAGGGCATCGATCGCCACCTTTTCTGTCTCTATGTGGTCTCTAAGTACCTGGGAGAGGAATCAGCCTTCCTCAAGGAGGTATTGGCACTTTTTAAAGAGTTTTCTTATGAAATAAAAGTAACATTTTTGCCACTTTGAAGGAAAATGTGTGTTTTGTTGCTTTTTGAAATAAATGTGATACCTTGATGCATAGGTGTTGTCTGAGCCATGGAGGTTGTCCACCAGTCAGACCCCGCTGCAGCAGATTGAGTTGTTTGATCTGGTCAGACATCCAGAGTTGGCATCCTCCGGAGGTGGATTCGGTCCAGTAAGTTCAATTCTTATTGTTTTAGGAAAGTCCTATTTAAGATTTGAGGCGATGGTAAAACGTGAACCTCAATTGCATGTTATTTGTTTTACTGTTTCAAAGTTTTCATACCCCTTTTCACATTTTTTCATGTTACAATAAGCTTTAAAGCATTTATCATTTTTTGACATATGGACGATGCTTTGATCTAAACATTGGAGTTCTGGTTGGGTGTTTAGGGTTATAGATGTTCTGGAAGGAAGAGCTGCAAGAAGCCCAAGTTCACTTATGCTTTTCTGTCAACAATAATTTTCATCTTGTCACCTTTCTGTAAACTTTAGATCTGTAGCAACTTGTAGCTCTTTGCACAGACTATCTTCTAAGCTGAGGATCTCTGTAGCTTCTCTGATGAATGCAGGTCCTCTGTGCTTTTTTTAATGTTTGATTTTGAATGCAAAATGTTTAATTTGCCTTTAAAGTGGCTAAACAGGAAAAAAATGAATTATTTCAATAGTGAACTTGTACCTCAATACCATGGGAGACTCAGATTTTCTTTTTTTCTCTTCAGGTGGCTGACGATGGGTATGGTGTCTCCTACATCATTCTTGGGGACGACCTCATCAACTTCCATATCTCCAGCAAATACTCAAGCCCAGAAACTGTAAGCTTTCTATTTTTTGTTGTTTTTGTTTTCTTTTGTAGTTTATTTATCTTGCAAAGATTCTAAAGGGAAAATCACACGTTACACGTATACACACTTAGTATTTCTGTGTATATATGTATTATGTACCGTATTTTCCAGACTTTTTATTTTCCACCACTCTTTCAACCATGCGGTGGAGGTTTTCTCTAGATTTTTCCTTACTGCCAGAGGGAGAAGACAAGGTTGGAAATGAACAAAGAAGGGTCTAATTAATTTTTTTTATTCTTCAAAAAACTTAGTGGGTGCGGCTTATAGTGTACAGTGTAAACCACTCTGTAGTCTGGAAAAAACGGTATATGCAATTGTGACAATAACCTTTCCAGTTTTAATGTTCTAGGAATGTTCTTTCTTAAAAAATATTGTCCTTCCTGTTTTTTTTCAGGACTCCCGTCGTTTTGGGGAAAACATTAGACAGGCCATGTTGGAAATGCTGGCTCTCTTCCAGCTTGAGAAGAAAGAGTCAAAGTGATGACTCTCACCTGTTTTATTTTTCTGTTTTTTATTTTTCCTTTTCTTTCTGGTGGAATAAAAAAAAAAAAAGAGGGAAAAAAAAGGATCAAATCTTCCTGTAAATTGTGCAGAATCTTTCGAAGAATCTGGGGTTATTTCTAAGTTAATTAATGTTACATGACTAAGGAAGGCATTTAGACGTGTCACTGTTGATATGTTTGGAAAGAGATTTGTGTATACAGTCTGAGTGAGGTGAGCCTCCAGCACAGTTGGTGCGTAGATCAAAGTATTTATTTGCAAAAATGTAACTTTAGCGGTGCCTTAGCGACACACTAATGTGAAAAAAAAAAGTAAGTAATGCAGAAAAGTGAAGAGAACATCTGGGAACAAATGTGTGCTGTAAAACACTGAATGTTGTTTTAGCTGAAGACTTCAATAGCATCAATACATTTTAGAGGAGTTTTTGTTTTTAGTCCTATGATGGTGCAATACTTTTAAAAGCTTCCATCCTGAGCGTATGGTTCATTGTTTCTTTTGTGCTTCCTTCTGTTGCAGCTCTAGTCTCACTATAACTGACCCAAATGGCAAACATGAGGTGAAATATCAGCTTGTTTTTAGGTTACATTGCGTCCACCTATTTCAAAGGATTCAGCTGAAATGGAGGCAGATTCCCTCAAACAATTGTGATAAAACTGTATCTATAAACACAAAAATCCTAGATATGAAGCTTTGATCTGTTATGAGCCTCAGTGTGGGTGTGATTCTAAACGCAGTGTAATACAGAAAGCTGGTACCACTGTCTAATCTCAATAGCCTCTCTGATGCATCTGTACAGTCTGTTTGTTCAGTTTTAGCTGCTATGATTTTTATAAGGTTGCCTCTTAGGCTGCTGTTATGTGTCTAATTTTAGTACTCAGGTTTTGTTAACTTGGCCTGTTTAAAGGTGCTTTCAGAAGCATCCACTCTGGTTGGTACAGTGAATAATTGAATGCAGTAGAAGAATAACCATGTGAGGTTTGTAGGTGATTTAATTTAAAGTTTTTTAGTGCAAAGTTGAATGACACGAGCCGGACATCTGGCGTAATTCACAGGAACTTTATTAAAGAGAAAATATTCTTTGAGATAACCTGGAAACTTTTATAAGGGATGTGTTGGTGTGCTGGTTACAGCATGGTGGTGGTGTAGCTCTTATCGCCAAGGCGAGACGTCTATCAGAATCATAACAACTTGATCGTCTCCAGAACTAGGAAACTGAAGTTTCTTTTGAAGAAACTTTCATCATTCTTTTATTTATACCTTTTCAATCGATTATGTTTTTTTCTTTTCTTTTTTTTTACTTTTTTGATTCACAAACATGCATATCTACTGGTTGAATGTGGTGAATGATAAGCACTAAGTTAAAGCTTGTTTTGATTTATGAAGTGAAACATGGCATTTTTGTTATCACACTTTGCCAGTATGTTGTAGTTTGACTTTTTATGTCAGTAGACCTCATGTTTACACTGCTGCATGTTATTTGAAAATGAAGCTGTACATGTTTGCCTTTAATTTAAGGTTGTGTAAAAAAATAAAAAATAAAATGACAAGCAGCTGATATACCAAACAAAGTTTAACAATAAAGTGAATGTCAGACAGCTGTATTGGTCTCATTTTGAGTCTTATTTCTTATTTATTAATGAACTCTATTGTTAAACCCATAGCTGTTAAATTTACGGTTTAATCTTTAAATCTATACTTCAGGATAGATCTTAAATAGGTGGTATTTAATAATTCAACCTATGGCAGAAATATGTAAAATGCAACTTGTTTGTTTATGACCAATATTGTGCTAATTATTTTAGTTTTCTTTTAGTTTCTGGGCTTGAGTATTATAGCTCTTTGCATGAACTACCTCACATAAGTCAGTATCTAATGCAATTAGAGTAAACTGCAATTATAATATGTTGCACAGCCGTAATTCCACCTAAGGTGAAAGGGGTTGTGTTTTACGAGTTAGTAGAGTTAGACTTGAATTAAATTAATGTTTTTTATATTTGAGTTGTTTAAGGATGGCAGAAATCTCCTCTGCTGCTTGCATTCTCTTAGGGATGAAACTAGTCCGTTTTAATGGATTTAAACAGTTCAGACTGCTGTCTACTGAAGGTAAAAGCCTAAATGCTGATAACGCTGCAGATGTTTTCTTTTTGAAACAACCTTTTTAGTGTTTGCTTCATATATTTTGTTATATTTTGCTTTGGGTGGGTAATTGCAAGCTTATTTAAATTTCTAACAATTCACTGACCTCTTGAAATCATTGCTATGTGAAAATAAGATCTTTCCATTGACAACACAGTGTTTATTTAATTACGGGAAACAACCTGAGAGCATTACATTGACAGATGGACAGGTGGCTGGGCTCATGTGGATGGCACCCAGGAGTAAAGTCCGGCTTTAGATGTATTAATTATTTCCATCTCTTATCATGATTCGCATCCATTCAGCTCAAAATGACTGAAAAGCTTTTTAAAGTGAGAGAAACCCCCCCCCCCCCGAAACTTCTTACGTTACTGAATTTCTCTTTTAACCTCAGACACACCTTGATAATGGTACCTCCTCCACCTTGCTGTCACCCCTCCCTCAGTTCCGACACGAGGCTAACATTTCCACCCTGCTTTCCCAAGGCCTTCTTACAGCTTAGTGTGGGAATACACATGGTCAAATAAGAAAAAAAATAATACAAGATTTGGAGTCATCTTTAACATGAATTGTAGTTTTAATATAAAAATGCTTACTTAAGCTCATATGTATTTAGGAAAAACAGTAGGGGCATTCAACTATTGATGTGAATTACATAAAAAATATCAATGGAAAATAAAACAGAAACACTTTGAAGGCTGCTCTGTACAGAATCTTTTAAATTAACTCTTATATCTAATTGGTAAACTCGAGAAGGCAATCGTTCAGGAGGAGACTCTGAAACCTAAAACCTTGACTTGCACTTTCTAAAAGTAGACTTTGGAGAGATCTGCAGCCTCTGCTTGTCACTGCTTTAATTCATGTGCCTCCTGCTCCACAACACAGTCAAAGAAAAGCTTAGAGCCAATGTGGACTATCTAGTTTTATGAGCTTTTCATGCACTGGTCCGACGACTTTATTCCATTTTGTCACTGATATTAGTTAATAGATGTGAACAACATAGTTTGAATTACTGCTACTGTGTGTAGTTTACTTGTTCCATTCTTGAATTGGGTGTTTCTCTGGCAGTGTTTTTTTTATTTTTCTTCCATTGTTAGGTTAATTAATTGGGTTGAACATTTTTTATTCAGAACTTTTGTATTCTGCTGCCAACAGTTAGTTTAAGAGTGGATGCCTTTACCACAGCATTTCTGGAAAAAGGTATTGTAGGAATTAACTGTAAAGTAGAATTCACAGTATAAGCTTCAAACAGAACAATTGGTAATAAACACTATGGGGAAAGAAATCTACAATATGAATTATAAAAGAAACTTCACCATGAATGGAAATATCAGGATCAAGGCAACTTTAGGTTTTACCCTCTTAAAGATTCTCCCACACTGTAACTTCAGCTCACAAACCACCAAGCCAGACCAGCATGTCCTCAGAACTGTATCTGGCTGAGAACTGCACTCTGAATCTTAAGCGATTAAGTCAAGCGTGTAAATGGAGAGGGGGAGCTCGGTGGCTGGCGTTGAGGAACCCTGCAAGTCTGCGACCAGCTGCACCTGTCTAACTGCACCAAAAGAGCAGGGTCTGAATGGGGCCCCAAGGTGGAGCTTGGCCAAGTGACTGTGGGAGAAAGAAGAAGGTAAGGAGGGGAGGCTGAGCGACAGCAAGGCTGAATGTGAACCACTGAAGATCTCTCCCACAGCAGCACACTAAAACTATAAATAACTTTTAGGAGGTTTAAGGGGTATTAATGTAGATGTTGGTCACCTTGAGTAATGCTACCTATAAACTACAGAAAGCTGAACTCAGCAGAGGTGAAACATGGCACTTATTTTGTTGTCTGTCTTTTATAAAAGCCTGGATGATACTAATATATTATTTTTTTTGTCTGTCAGGTTCTAACATTCTTAGATGTCAGTCAACTTATCAAAGTTGCAAAAACTTTTGTCAGTTTTTTTTTTTTTTTTTTCTATTTTTGACCTTTTTAGTTAGTTAGAGATCTTTGTCCATTACTGGTTATGCCATAAAGCTGACCTGCCTCTTGTAGCAAAATAAATAAATAAATGGCTGCCATTTTCAAAGGTGGCTTCATGTATCAGCATGTTTTTAATATCCGATTTCATGTCAATGAACCACTGTATACTTACTGAAGGGAGAACAATACTTTGTGATCTCTATTCTTCTATGAGAAACGACAGGTATTTTCTAAAAACGTCATATTTGAAATTTTGCTACAGATTTGCAGTCTAAATAAGAACATGACATGTATTAAACAGATTTCATGACTTGATATCTTTTTAATACAGTTACTAAACCCACCCAGAGCCATAGCTCTGTTGAACTGTCCATCCCACCTTAGCAGTAATGATTTTATAGGATTCTTTATAAATAGGATTGATTCTATTAAAAATAAGATCATTAGCACCCCCCTAACTGTCATTATTTTATGTCTGGAAGGTGAGGCCATACCTGAGGTAATCATAGAATCTGAACCGTGTTTAGACTGCTTTGATACAGTTGAACTTTCAGAGTTAGCAAAACTATCTCCATCTAAGCCTCCAACTTGTATGTTAGATCCATTTGATATTGTTTAAGGAGATATTCCCTCCTCCTCCATTTTAGATGTGATTAATCTATCTCTGTTACAGGGGATATGTAACAAAGGGTTTTAAGGTTGCTGTGATTAAACCTTATTTAGGAAACCATCTTTTGACCCAGATGACTTGGTCAATTATAGACCTATATCCAATCTTCCTTTCTTATCTCTTAAAATTCTTGAAAAAGTAGTCTTACACCATAATGCACTTTTTTAAAAAGTTTCAGTCTGACTTTAGAGCTTATCATAGCACTGAAACAGCTCTGGTGAAGGTTGCTAATGATATTCTCATGGCCTCAGATAATGGACTTGTATCTGTGCTCGTCCTGTTGGATCTCAGTGCTGCATTTGATACAGTTGACCATAATATTCTTATAGAAAGACTTGAATATTTTGTAGGAATTAAAGAATCAGCACAAGACTGGTTTAAATTATATCTGTCTGACCGATTTCAGTTTGTTCACGTTAATGATAAATCTTCCTTATGCTGGAGTACCACAGTGATGGGTGATAGGACCAATTCTCTTTACTATATATATGCTCCCAATTGGTACAATTATTAGACAGCATGGGATTAATCTCCACTGTTATGCTGATGATACTCAGCTATATCTGTCTATAAATCCAGATGAAGCTAACCCATTATAGATTACAGGCATGTCTTGGAGACATAAAAACATGGATGACTCTTAACTTTCTGCACTTGAATAAAGACAAGATATGAGTTATTGTCTTTGGACCAGACTCTTTGAAATAGAAGCTTATTAGTCAGTCACTTCATTTGGATGGGATTAAATTTATCTCAGAAAATAAAGTAAAAAATAATATTGCAAAAATTAAAAATATTCTGTCCAGTGGTGATGCGGAGAAACTAGTCCATGCATTTGTCAACTTCAAGGCTGGACTATTGTTATTATTTACTATCAGGAAGTCCACAAACTGTAGTTAAAAGCCTTCAGCTGAACCAAAATGCTGCAGCCAGAGTTCTTTAAAAAAGAAATCAAACTTCTCCTATCCTAGCTTTTCTTCATTGGCTTTCTGTTAAATCCAGAATAGAATTTAAAATCTTCCTTCTCACATATAAAGCCTTAATTGGCCAAGCTCCATCTTATTTTAGAGATCTGATTGTTCCTTATGTTGCCAACAGAGCACTTCGCTCTCAATCTGCAGGTTTACTAGTGTTTCCAAGAATTTTAAAAGTAGAATGGGAGGCAGATCTTTTAGTTATCAGGCTTCTCTCCTGTGGAACCAACTACCAGTTTTAGTTCATGAGGCAGACACCCTGTCTACTTTTAAGGGTAGGTTTAAAACTTTTCTTTTTGATAAAGCTTATAGTTAGGGTGGCTCAGGTTATCCTGAGCTATCTCTATTGTTATGCTGCTATAGGCTTAGACTGCTGGAGGACATAGGGACCCCTATTCATCATTTGGCTGCATTCTTTCTCTATTCTCCCATTCCCCAGAATGTGTTAGTTAAATGTGTAATGTTATGTTCTCTGCTTTTCTCATAGTAGCTTCATCTGGTCTATTCCTTGTTTGGCTGTCACTGTGTTTGAGAAGGGAAGGATATTCTGTACAATTCTCCAAGATGATCGGGTGGATCACAAAGTGGCACCTTCCTCCCATGTCAAGCTTTCAGCTTCTGAGGTGACAGTAAGATAAGATCCGCATTCAGCCTCGTCTAGCAGGTGCTCTGTTTGCGTGAATACTTTTAAAAGTTAGAACATAAAGATCAGCACTTATCATCACAGCCATATTTTTTTCTAAAGTACAAATTTCATTTTAGAAAAAATGCATAAAGGACATCTGGTTTGCTTTATTTTTGGATTCAATCTCCTGTGGACATGTCTCTCCACCTGAGCAGTGACTCTGTTATTCTACCAAAGCCTTTTTTCTTTTTTTCCCCTGGCTAGATGGCTTGGGCTGAGATTCAAAAGTTATTCCATTTACAATTGCGTGTTGTAAACAACCATATTTTCATAAGAAAAGTTGCCTATGAGGTGATGTTAAATTACTGTCAGGTCTTTAAATAACAAGACTTATTTAAGAGCCGAAAGTTGAAAAGAAAAAGGTGAAATAACAGCAATAAAAAAAGTGAGACTACAATTGGAATCTTGCACAGCAGAAAAGAGCCTTTAAAATATGGCAATGAAGAATTGAATAAAAGGGCAAAAGGTTCCTTGGTCCCTAATGAAGGCTACAGATTGTTATAAAATTGTTTATGCCATGTGAAAGACATTTAGGTTGCTATTATCCAATAAATGTCGGCATTAAAGAATTTTCTGACCCCAATGTGAAACATGAATTTGATAAACGGAAGACCTGAAGTAAGAAAATGTAAACTTTATTGCATCAATTTTCTACAGAAAAACAGAAAAAAAACACATTATGAAATGGCACAGTCTTTGTACTCTCCTTGCTAATACTGCAATAATCCAGAAGCATGAATTTGTGTTATTTTATAAAGTTGGCACATTATCAAGGCATCTGGTTCGATCCATTTGTTGATGAAAGGAATAATGCATAAAAGCTTTTCCTGCGAAACATGTTTTAAAGGAGAAAGAAAACATTCTTTTAACAAACTCTCATAGGAACTAGAAGAATTGCTCACCAGAAGGGCTGTGGAAAATCCGTGTGCACATTGTACATTCTGCTCTTTGAGAGATTAAGACATCAGTGTGATCACAACATGCTTCGCTGCACTAAGACATTTGGTGAACTGATAAACTTCAGTAGACCTGAGTGTATTAGCTGATACAGTTTTGTTCAGTAAAATTGAGACATAATGTCTGTTATATTACTGCTTGCCAGATAAGATTGTTTTTTGCAGAGTGCAAATCAAAGTTAGCCAAAATCTCTATCATAACCATGTAAAAATACACATTAATCCATACCAAGATACACAAAAAGTATTTTAAGAGTAGATATAAATCTAATCAGAGCACTAATTGTGAATAAAACACTAAACCAAAGAAGGTAACGGATGTAAATGCAGCCTATCAACCATAACCTTGGCATGTAAGGTCAAGATAAACAACGAGAACAAAATCACAGAGGCTACATTTGATGTAAAGGATCCTATCAACCAATTTCAAAAGATATCAACCAAATATTCTACTCCTAACAAAAATAATACACATTCTTAATTCTGCAGTGGCTTTCAAAAGTGAAAATTATACCATTATATCATTTTTAAACCTTTTTCTACCAGTAATGGAACAAATATCCTTAACAATTCAACAGAAACAAATGCTTTCATGTTTAAAAAGAAAAAAGTGCTGTAAGTTGGTTTTATAAGCACTTCATTAGCCATTAATGAACAGTTTTTATTTCAATTTGAGCCTTCAGTCCTTTTAGGAAGGTATCTAACAGGATGCCACTTTATGACGTAACTACTAATTAAGCACTGATTATATTTAACTTCTCACTGATGACAGTCAGCGGGATTAGGAAAACGATGAGTGTGGAATCATCTGTCCAGGTATAGCGATCCTCCACTGAGCGAGCTGGCTGCACGCACAGTTGGAACTGATATACCCCAAAATGACTACTATTATTATTGAGCAACAGGACAGACATCGGAAAAGCAAAACTCTCACCTAAAAACATGATAAAAGTGTAATAATTTCATTTCTTTGCTGCTCTCTTCCATTGGAGCCACATTTGTTTGACAATTCAATTCAACCCACATCCTGAGCAGTTTCAGGGAAATTTCAGGGAAATGTGAAAGTCCTTCCGTATCCAAATAGAATTGTGCTGGAACACCAAAATGATAATGGTATTGATTATTACCCTCTCTGCATTGCTAATGATCATTCAGACTGTTAAGACACCCTTGGAGTGACAAAACAAAGTTTAATTTCAGATTGATAAATTAGTCCTATATCATTTTTTTCATCTCATTTGGTTATTTTTTGTTGATTTCTAAGTATGCCTGGGCTCACTATTTAACACAAAAATAAAAGACTTCCTGATATTCAACTATGTGGACAGCACCTAAAGATGTGGGATTAAAACTGCCTGATATTTCAGAATTTCACCCACCAGACCATCATGCTGCCAACACCATGCTTCGATGTTTATGTGTCATTGTTTGTGCTAATTTAACTTCTATTTTTCAAATGTATTAATTTTCGTCTGATCTCTTTACGAAATTTGTGATGAAGGTCCTGTTTTAGTGATCTCATCCTTGTCCCATATTCTCTCTAATCACTGATGACTGTCTTTACTGTGCATTGTTACGTACATTGTGACTTAACCTGACTGACACCCTTGTGAAACGACATAACTTAAATTCTTTAAAACCTTCTCTGCAAACATAAGCATTAGACTACAAATGAAAAAATAGTCATACATTTCTCTATAATGGATAGCAGGTCAGCACCCATTAAGACTGAATTCTGGAATTGAATTAAAAGTGTTAGTATATATGGTTGTACTTTAATGATTGTCACATAAAAGGCAGAAAAATAAGATTACGATTAATTATCTTACATTTCTTTACATGTTTTATCACAGAAAAAAAAAGAATGAATTTGAGCTTTTAATATCTGTTGTGGTTTAAAAAAACTAACAAACAATGAAGTTCTAATCAAATGCATAGTTTTATACTTTAATTTAGCTCTTGTAAAAGAGCATTTAGTTAATAAAATCTGTCAGACCAAAAAAAAGGGGAACATCCTAAAACAGTACGTTAATTAGGTCAAACGTGATCTAAATGTAGAAATAGGCACAATTAAAACAGTGGCTTGGCATCAAGTATATGGGAATACAGTACTAAGGATTTCCAACAGAGATGTATTCACTTAGTTAAACTGTTCACAGAAAAAATGCTAGTTGATGATGGACTGTTGTGTCAAACAACTTTACAGAGCAGTGAACATCTATATTCTGAGGTACATTCATAGAACACCAGCCCTTCAGCTCTTTAGGTTCAAGTAAAAGCCTTATTTTCCAATGATTGAGCAACTCCTTCAATACCACAGTGCTAATGTACAATTTTGTAGCTTGTTTGCGTGATCCAATTTTGTCTTACTAAGCAGTTCCCTTGAAAAGAGCTCTTTCAAAAAGTTTTCCTGTAATTTTCCATTTCTTCATTTGGTCTTCTTGAGAGATTCTTTTAAGCCAACAATGCTTTGTTCCTCTTTATGAAGACGGCCAGCAGCAACTAAAAGTTTAAAGACTGTTGAAAGGCAGTACGTAAACACACGGATCTCTCAGGAACTATACACAGAAGAAATATTATTGAATAAAAAAATATAAGCCCGGAAAATCAGCCAGGAGGTAAAACTGATTAGTATTAAAAAGAGGAAAAAAAGTGTCACAAAGACAAAAAAATGCAACAATTACAAACTTTAAAGTGCAAGTATAAGAAAAAAAAAGTCTCTCTAAATATCTCAAGTCAAACGTCGAGACATTGTCAATGGTCTGTAGTGGAAAAGTGCAAGTTGAGATCAGAACACTTTCAGAAGTATATTTTTAAGAATTTGATTTGAAACAGTAACAGTCGGTCGACTAAGTGGATTAGTCAGGACTCAGCTTCTCCGTAAGAATACAGCTACCTCCTCCAGAGGTACAGGGTAATCCTGCAGAAACGTCCCGCCATCAAACACCTGCTCACTCTGGCTGTCCTGCCACTGGAAGTCCCCATCTGGTAAATAAATATCCCTCTGGACTGCCCCCTTCTCCACCACTGGTGCCACCAGGACCTGAAAACACAAGAGTTCAAACTAGTTAATTTTACCAAAACTGGTCAGGTTGCCAACTGTAAGTAGCCTGGGTGCCATTCCGAACTTAGTCCCGCCCACAAAGTTTGAGATCGGGAAGTTCGGTCTGGCTCTGCTCCATAGTAGCGCGAGTATTATCACCCACTG